AATAAAATATTTAGAAATAATTAAATGTTTTTAGCAAAAATTTGGTATAAGTGATCTGCAGAAAGAGTTGCCGTTTTATATTAAAAAATTATAAAATTAATATATTTAAAAACTATATTATTATATATATCTAGATATTATTTTAATAAAAAAAATTTAATATAGTTAAGATAATAATATCTATACTAAAGTTAATTTTTTTATACTTCATAATAATTAATAAAAGAAATTGACTTTTTTTATAATTTGTAACTATATATATTAAAAATAACTATTAATTTTTTTAATTTTTAACTATATAATATATGCTACAGTATATATATATTAAGTTTTAAAAAAACTAATTTTTAATAAAATTAATTCCAATAAAATTAACTATAATTCTTATTATATAATTTAGTTAAAAAAGAAAGAATTTACAAATAAGAGCCCAAAAATAAAATAATTACAAATAAGGATCCAAAATGAATATAATTACAGATAGAAGCCTGATATTTGATATCATAATGGTATTATGATTAATTGTTTTATTTTATGATTAAATAGATGTTTTAAAGTTATTGTTCATTACAGTTAGACTTCTCTATAATCACTTCCTTTATAATCTTATTTGTTTATAATTACAAACTTTTAAAACTAACTCATATAATGCATATAAATTTAACCTTCAAAATTCGTGAAACCAAAAGTGTAATTATAAAAAGTTTAACTATAAAAAAAACAAAAAATCAAAAAAAATTTCTGTCTAACTGCCCAGATTTTTGACTTCTCTAAGCTACCATGTATAATGTTTAAGCTTTACATTTAGAAACGAATATGATTTTCAATATTACATGATCAAAGTATTACTATGTCTCATGTTTTGAATATATTTATAAAGATTGACAAGTTGGATTATAAACAATTGGCCTTAGTTAGCTTTATGCTTGTTAGCTAAAATAGTAAAAGAGCATGAACTGATTTCATTTGTAAAACAAACAGTTAACAGCTTACTTATTCTTAGCTTAGAATTCAACAGACTAACAGTTTACTTGGTTTGTTCATTCTTAACTTAGAATTCAACAGAATAACTGTCTAAGTCCAAATGGACATTTTCTATGTTTCTAAAAGTCTTACCATCTGTAACTTTGTATCTAGCATTTATGAACAAGTTTTAAAAAATATATATAAGAATTTTAATAAAATAACTTTACAGCATGATTGTATCTTTTTTATTGTGCATTGGAATTTGTATTCAAATTACCAATTGATTATTATTACATTTCTTATGCATTAACAATCAATAATCATAAATTATAGGTTTTTAAACATATCTGTAATTATTTTTATTTTGGGTTCTTATTTGTAATTATTTTCATTTTTGGACTCTTATCTGTAAATTTCTCTTAAAAAAATTTTTTAAATAATGTTTCTGAAAATGGGTATCTGAATTGGATCTGCAAAAGTTATTTAAAATTTCATCATTGGAGTCTTGTTTTATCATTATCTAACTATCCAATGACAGAATTTTATGTAACCTCTGCAAATCCAATTTGGATACCCACTACTTGAGTGCTGCAGAGCAAAAAGCTAAAAGTAAATATTTAAGTTCTCATCATGGTAAATTTAGCTCCTGAAGTACTTTGATATTACATACTGATAAATAATAGTTTAATAGTTTAGTAACAATAAGAATTTTACTAAATGATTAGGACACTAATTATATATATGATTAATTGTATAACATCAGAATTCACAAGACTAAATAGGCTAAACTTACAATAATAAAAACTTAAATATTCACTTTTAGCTTTTTGCTCTGCAGCACTTATTTCAGAAACCTGCAATATTCAAATACAATATTTTGTTACTATATATTTTTATGTTATAAAAACTAAACAGCAAAATTAGATTAGAGTAGAATAATAGTTTTAACATTTTTTAGTTTTTTATAGATACATGTAAAGTAAGTAAATATAATATTTATTATTGTTTTTATAGATATGTGTAAAGCAAGTAAATATGATATTTATTATTAATAAACTTGTATTAAAAAATTTATATATGCAAACCAAAACTTTAATTTATGTTAACAAACCCAAATCTACTAAATTTAAACATTAACTCTGAACCTTTGCTACTGAAGATAATACCTATTCAAATTAGATATAGATTTTTTATAACCTAGCATCACTAGTCTAAATGATTTTACACATAATATGATTTTATTGTAAAACTAAGAAAAAAATTTCTCTAAGAAAAAATGTTTCACTATTAGGTTAGCATTAGGGTATTGCAAGTATGTTAGATTTAGAGGATAATAGTTATGCTAAAATTTTGTAAAGAAAACTTTTTGCTAATATGCAGAAGGCCATTTCATAAACAAAATTTCAAGTTATGGATGATTTTGGATTGTTTTAGCTTTTTGAACTTTCCTGCTATATCTGATCTTAAAATTTAATTCGCCAGTGAAAATTTTAGACTGGTCATTTTTAGAGTTGTTAATTTTTTTATACTTAAAAGCTTATACCTATTTATATTAAGTCTGAATTTTTTGCTTCTAAAAAGTTTATATCTATTTTAAATTAAATAGTCAGTAATAAAGCTTATTTGAATCTAATGCAATAAAGCAACCTAAGCAAAAACATTTTCAGTTACCTTTATAATATAACTTTGCACAGTGCAATAGTTGGCAGTATATTTTGTCTTCTAAGTCCATCAGTTTTAAGATTATATTAGTTCTTACTGTTGAGTATTTGGATTGAATATTAATATTTGAATCAAAAATTTCTCTGAATACTCATAATAGTATGAACCAACCTAGACTATTTTTGCATAGTAAACAATAGCATTTGACTAAATTTAAGAATGTTTTTTGCAGTGATTTTTTGTTAGTGAATACTGTGTCTTTAAAAAGTACTGTAACATATAAATAAGTTGCCTGAAATTGATTTTGCATTGATCAATCAGATGAATTTCAACCTATATGCTCCTGATATAAATATTGGCCTGTTTATATTCATCTAAAATTTATATAACATCAAATAAATCAAAATTGTTTTAAAATGTACATAACTTATAATTAATAGTTTAAAATTTGCAAGTGTCACTAATAATAATAATAATTAGTACAAATTGCAAATACCAATTACATATTAACATAGACCAAAAAAAACTTATTTGTTCTATTGAGTTATGAATAAATATATAAAGTATATAGCTATAGCAATTCTATATTAAAATAATTTTTTTAAAACTGTCCATAATTTTTTAGAGTTTGTTATATGAATTAAAACTGTATCGTCAATTTTTGCTTACAGTAAGCATTAAAGCTTTTTGATATAATTTTTAAGGTTCTAATTGTTTGATTAAATTTGAATTTCAGTAATAAATATATAAGGCCAAGCAAAGTTAATGCTTTGGTTTCCAACCTGTAATTAATACAAAATAAAAATAAAAATAAAACTTATTAAGAAATCATCTTAGTTTGTATAAAAGCAAATAGTTTGTAGATAATAATTTCAATAGTTGAGATTCCTGGCTTTTGAACCAATCCTTAATGCACATGACCTATCAATTGAAATTTAAAAGATCCATTAGCATGTATGCTTTGAAAACATTTATAACAGAAATTTAGCTTGAACTACAGAGATAAATAACAAAATGTTAATTGTAAAGCATTTCAAAAGAAACATTTAAGAGAGAAAGAAACATTTCAACAGTGTAAAACACATCTTGCATGTGATTATGAATGAAAATGCCAAAAGAAAGCAGCTAAAACTACTAAGGAACATGAAATGCATCTAAATTGTGATAGGGAATGAAAACAAAAAAGGTTGAGCAATTATAGAATAAAGAAAACATTGAAGGTGCAAGTGTCCTGCCTATGAACATTACAGTTATGATCACTGCTTCTACAAATCTTACTGGCATTATCACTACAAATGCATTAGTAATATATGCTACAAATGCATCAGTAACAAATATTATTAATGCAAATGTAATGAAAACAATCAGTAGCAGTCCTAATGTTAAGAGTGCAAATGTTACTACTTTAAATACTACTAAAACAACTGTTAATACTATAAATAAAGTAGAAATGTCTGTTATAGCAACAGATACCATGAGAATAAATGCTCAAATGAATTTAGCCACTGTTCTCTGCGAAGTCGATTATAACCTCTTGCAAAAGTTTTATGCTAAAATGGATAGATTAAAGCATGCTCATTGTTTTATATGTAATGAAAGTTTTCTATCAATAGTACTCATAAATGGACAATGCTATTACTGTTATAGTAAAAAGATGCTTTCTAAAAAATTCTTTCAAGAAAACAACATGGACCCCAGTGAAGTTTCTGTAGAATTAAAAGATCTCATATAAATTGAAAAGATGCTTATATTGCAAGTTTTTACAATAATGTTTGTATATTAACTTTATAGAGGACAATATAAGTATAGAGAAAATGTTATAAACTTTCCTCAAAACATTTAAGAATTTATCACTTGGCTTTCCTATAATCCTTCATTATTGGAAGTACTAATTATGCATTATAAGTCTTTTAATGATATTGCAGCATTTAAAGATTTTAAAGTTCATTGCACCAAAGTTGCTTGTGCCCTACAATAGTTAAAGAAAAATAATCTATATTATATAGATATTGTTATTAATAATGAAGTTTTACCTGAAAATAATCCAGTTGATAACCAACTTCTCCAATTTCACATTGAATGCTTTATATTCTAAAGATGAAAATGATGCAATCTTGTGTAGCTTTGTACCTTCGTTTCCCTTAGTACATAGTGAAGAAAATTCTATTAATAATGCTATTGAGCATGTGCAAGCCAGAAATCCACTAGTAGAATAGCTGCAGATTGACAGTAACCCTTTAACAAATTTCAAACTCCAGGCTAAATTGCACAAGCATTTCTAACTCTTTATCCATGTAATTATGCAGATTCTCATTCTGAATGTATTAAGAAAGTAAAACTAGCTGAATATTTTAAACACTTACTTTTGCACAAAGATGGAAGATTTGTATATTATACTTGTTAGAAATATTTTGCACTAAACTTCCAAATGCAATTGAGGACATTACAAAAAAGAAGTGTGTTTGTTAGGCAAAACTTGAATGATAACCAGCTAACTGTTAAAGAAATACATAATGTGATAGCTAATAGTGATAATTATATGCCTAACCAAATTATGCAATATCAGAAAAGTTTATATAGATCTAGGCAGTTTTGGATGATGTGAGCTGTGAGCTATCTGATATGATTAAACAAATAGGTTTACAAGAGTTGGTATTCTTTACATTTAGTACTGCTGACTTGCATTGCCAGAGCTCCATAAACTCATAAGAGAAAGTGGTGGCTATAGAAATGAAAATAACTCAGCTGAACAACATAGTCAGAATATTATTAATAATCCTTATATCATTAGCTGGTTTTTTAATAAACACTTTGAGACTTTTTTTGAAGAGGTGTTGAAAAATCAATAGAACTTGGAAGATTGATGATATAGATTTGAATAGCAGCATTGTGGTAGTGTTCATGTATATGAAATAGGAAAAAAAAAAGTGCATTTGTAATTGAATAGGAGCATATAAAAAGTGATAAAAATATAATAATGAAAGTTATACAATATCTTAATGGCCTGGTTACTACAATAAACTTAGGACTTAATGCACCTATACCTGATCACCATTCATGTCAAAAAAATCATAATAAAATACACAATGAATTGCAAGATTATATCAACCTTATTAATAAATTACAACAACACACATGATGCAGCCCTTTATACTTTCTTCGCATTAACAAATCTGGCCAGCAATTTTGTAAATATGGATATTCTAAGAAGATTAGTGAACATACTTATTTGTGTAATAATAATCATGAAGATCCAAAACTTGTGACTAAAAAAAATGATCTATTTGTCAATTCATATAATAGACTGCAATTACAAGGTTGGAAGCCAACATTGACCTAAAGCTAGTTCTTAGCATTCATGCTTTTTTACAATATATATCTAAGTATACAAGTAAGGCAGAGCCAAGGTTTACAGCATTTTCAGATATATTAAATCATATACTTTGTAATAGCAGACCTAAAGATTTATTATTCATTGTGATCCAAAGACTGCTATTAAATAGTGTTACAGAATGTGATATCTTAGCACAAGAGACTTGTTACTTACTTCTTAGGATTCCTCTTTATCATTCTAGTTACTCATTTATTCTTTAACTCTCAATACAGAAACACCTAGATGGCTTCATGGTACTGACAATAATACAGTTAGTAAAGATAAAATGACTTCATGGTCAGTTTTAAGAACTTATCAAGACAGATCAGTTGAGTATGAAGATTTTTTATTATTATTTTTTTTTTTTTCAGTATTAAGGTGACCTCTTCGGTCTGAGCTTTTTATTAATACTTATATCGAGTATATGTTTTATATAGATGAATCTATAATTAACTATTAGATGAGTGTACAACTGGCTACACATGTAACTTTTCTATATTACCTATTTAAGGAGTCCACCCGAGGGTT